GGGCGCGCTGCCCAGTCCACGAGGCTCTGTGGTGGGGACCTGGCAGCAGCTGTATGTTCAGCTCGGAGCGCCGGCACGGTGCTGCCTCTCGCCGGGTCTGCCTTGTGCCCTGGGGGCAGTCAGGCCTGTTCCAGTCGCGGAGCCGCTGAGCGCTCCCTGGCTCCCGAGAGCCCGCCTGTGATGAAGGCCCATGGCCCGGCTGAGCTCACTCACGCAGGCGAAATAAGGGACCTGCCGGATGCGCTGACGGGACCCGCTCGGCCTGGGGAGGGGCCCGTTTCCACAGGGCTGGAAACCTCTGTCCGGGCATCACTGTTTCTCTTAAGTTATTAAAAATCTGCAGTGGACGCTCCCCACCTCTGGCCCTGAGTTACTGGAGCAGGTGTGAGTGGGGGCGGGCAGGAAGGGCTGTCCGGTGCCCTGGGAGGGGCATGCAAAAAGCCATCCCGCAGCTGTGGAGGGCCTCTGGCTGGGCGGTGGATGTGGAGCTGGGGTCCGTGGATCTGGAGGGAGGGGAGCAGGACAGCAGAGTGGTGGGCAGGGCTCCAGCCTCACGGAGGGAGGGGGGGGAGGCTGCAGCAGCAGGAAGATTGTCACGTGGGTTGTGGAGTGAGTGTTTGGGGATGAGCCGACTTGCCTGCAGTACCTCGGCGCTGAGCATTAAACTGCCTCTGCCAGAGGCTGGTCTGGCAACTCCACACGGTTAATGTCTGGAAACCGGAGTCCAACCGGAGCTGGGGCAAGTCCCGCAGAAAAGCCAGGTGACTGGCAGCCAGTGTGGCAGCTCCATGTGGCCTGAGCAGAGGGAATGCGAGCTGGGGGCTTGGAGACCTCTCAGCTGAGCCCAAATGGGGGGACACGTGGGGCAAGGAACTGACTGGGGTCGTTAGTCGTGTGCGGATGTGACGGTTCTGCCTGGCACCCTAGAACCAGCAAAATAAGGCCCCTGGAACTGCATGGGGTGAGCCTGGGGAAGGGGCCAGGGCTGCGGTACATTGTGAACCAATGTAAGGGGATGCTGCTTAAAAGCAGGGCTGGAGAGAGGAGGAGCCAGCCCAGGAAAGGGAACTGGGGGTGGAAAGCCAGAAAAGGAGAAGCTTTGCGCGCAGGGAGCGATGGAGAGGAAGTAACCAAACGATCTGCTTTGCTCTTTTGCTGGCAAATCGGAAGACTTGGGAAAAGAGGGGAAGTTCTAAGCAAATTGCTCCTCCTAACCTTAACTCTGCCCCTGCGTGCGGCATATGCTGTGACGTACACACTCCCACTCCGGCTGTCCTACCTGTTCCTGGGCCTTCACTCCCCCCATCACGTCTGGGGCCTTTGCTCTGCCGGAAGGCACTTCTGCCCCTCCTCCCTACTGGTAGTTTTCACTTACCTTGTTATGGGAGTGCACCTGCTCTGTGGGTCCAGCCCTCCCCGCCCCACTCTCCCCAAGGAGGCCTGTCCCAGCGGCCAGGGAACACCCTTCCCGGGAGGGGAGGGGAAGCTGTTCCCCCCAGGCCTGGTTGGATAGTGGCTGGCTCAGGGCTTGGCCAGTTCACACTGGACAGGCTTCCCTGTCACAACTCGCCCCAGGGAGAGGGACCCGCTAGGCTGAGCCTGGAGCCTGGATGCTGCCTCCCTCAGCCCTGGCTGGCCCTGCCTGGGTCCCAGTTGGTGCCCGGGGAGGGGGGAAGAGAGCTAGCCCTGCTCTGTCTCAGCGGGGGCCCAGTGGAGGCGGCGCCTTAGCTCTAGGCGTGTATTAAATAACTAAGAAAACCGGCAGCAAAGCAGTGTCTGGCTCCCCCAGAGCTTGGAGCCGTTCCCCCGTCCCCTCCCAAAATGACCATTAGCCCAGAGAGGCGAGCACAAGGGGGATGGCCAGCCGAGGTCACGGCCGGAGGGTGGTGGCGGCAGATGGAGAGCTTGGGGCTCCAGGGGCCGCCTCTTGAAAGGACCCGCTATGTGGCTGTCCCTGGGGCCAGCCGCCTGGGTTAACCCTCATGCTCCCGCCGCTGGCAAGCCCGGCTGAGCGGTTTGTGCAGGCGGCCGCTGGGGCTTCCGAGCAGGAGCAGCTGCTCCGCCAGGCAGCGTGTCCCTGCAGCTGCCTGTTCCCAGGGGAGCTGCAAAGGGCCATCTTGTAAAATGGGGGTCGTGCCTCCTCCTTCAGAACCACAGCGAGGCGGTGTCTGGGTTCTGTGCTGGAGGGCTGGCTGGAGAGAGCAGGACAATTGCACCCCCTCCATTGCTCCGCTTCCCTCTGTACAGGGGCTTTGAACTCGGGGGTGGAAAGCCCTGAATTTCGGAAGTCACCCCGTGCTCCCCCAAGCAGAACCGCCCCTCGGCAGGAGGAGACGCCCCTTCCTGCTGGCTTTATCCCTCACCAAAAAGGCCCTGACACTGCAGGCCGCGTTTCCAGGACGACAGGCGGCCGGAGCCCCGGGGCAGAGTGGCTGGGACGGCTGGCAAGCCATCCCGAGTGAAGGTCTCCTTGTGAGAAGTGCTGAGCGACCCACAGGAGGTGCTGGCGCCCCCTGCCCAGCTGAGGAGAGGGACGTCCCTCGCGAGCCACACGGCCGGGCGGCTGGAGGTTGGTTAACGTTGGGCTTCTTTTGGCCCAGGCTGCTTGGCGCGCCAGCGAAGGTACGTCGCAGAGAGCACGTTGGCTGCAGCCTGTCCCCGCAGTGCGGCCTGCGGGTGCTCCCCGGACCTGGGAAGGTAACAGGCACTCGGACTGGCAGCGCAGTTCTGGATTCATTCCAGCCTGCAGACCAGGAACAGCCTCTCCTGTGTTCTCCCCATCCTGGCAAGCAGCAGCCCAGGCGGCTCTGTGGGAGCAGCAGATACCGGCTCTGTCCTTCACACACACGGGGAGCCAAAGGCCAAGTGTTTCCATGGTGCCGGCAGGTGGAACTGAACCTGGGACCTCTGGAGCTTAGTGCTCTCAGCTACGGCCATAGAGCAGATTCATTCTCTCTGGGGAGGGTCCCAGTGCCACTGCGTGGGACAGTGTAACGCCCCCCAGCCCCTTAAGGGACAGCTACCTGGCCCTTAGCTCAAACTTTAGGAACGGCGGCCCCCCCAATAGCTAGCCGGCCCCACGGCTTCCCTGGAGGTGGCGTGACTGGCTGTTGAGGCGCTGAAGTGATGGGCTGGAGACGGTGACCAGAACTCCGTTGTGCCTGGTTCCCAGCCCTGGGCCCTGCTGCTCCCCACCTCCGCAGAGGGGTTCATCCTGGACCCCAGGGCAGCAGGCCTGGAGGCCAAGCCCAGCTCCGCAGCCGGGGCCAAAGGGAGCTGCAAGTGGGAGCGAGCAGGGTCTTCCCCCGGTCGGCCGGCTGATCCCATGGGACGGGGGAGGCAGCAGCCAGCCAGGCCTTGCCAGAGAGCAGCAGGCTGCTGGGCTGGGCGGTGCAGTGAGCTGGCTGCTGTGCCGACGGTGGGTGGGCACCGTGGGGACGGGCGCTGTGCAGCCAGAGGGGCACGTGCGAGGGAGGTTCCGCCCACACGTGGACACGGTGACTGGCCAGAGGCGGCACCACGGCGTGTGACTGCTCCCTTCTGCCAGTCTCTTAGTGTCGAAGCTTTTCTGGTGCTCTCGGGAAGGGGCCTGCTGCCTCTGCTCTGCCGGCTTTCCATGCAGCCCCAGGAGCTAGGCACAGCCCCGCTCTCCTCCTCGGTGCAGCATCCCAACTCCGTGGCAGCCGGAGAGAACCAGCTGGGTTCAGGCGCCCCCCCCCACGCTGCTGTGTCTGCTCCTCCAGAGGCAGACACCCCCCATCCCCCGGCCACAGCCGCAGGCCTCAGTGCCCTGCTCACGCCCACTGCAGGCCTCAAACTGCTCTGGGCCAGCAGCCAAGGAAGGAAGACACCTGCCCGGCTCCAGCTCTTCCTGAGCTCTCCCAGCCGCCTCCCCTTCGCCCAGCGCCATCCCACTCCCTGGATGAGTAACTCGGCTTTTGTTCTCCAGCCCCCGGAGAGTTCGTATTCCAATGCTAATGACCCCAGGGTGTCTGGACAGATTGCCTGGCTGTTCTTCACCGGGGGCGGGGGAATAGCTTGGCGGCTTGCAGAGCTTTTCTTCTGAAGAAGGCGCCTGTGAAGTATAACAAATCACCTCCGCCTCCCTCTCCATGCTGCTACAAAGTCCCCCGCCAGAGGGGGCCCGCCCGGTTCAAATGCCACCTCGGGGGGCGACTCCGAAACTGGCTGGCAGAAAAAAGAAACAGGAAGAAAAGCAAAATCCAAGCAGGCAGATGAGATTAGCGGTGGCTGAAAACAAGGCACCAAGACAAGGAGGCCCCCCGAGTGGTAGCCGGGCGCGAGATCCCAGCGGTTCTGGAAAACCAGTTTTTCAAGCCCGTACAGTGCGTGCGCTTTGCCATTCCTCCTGGTAGGATGCAGCACCGGGCCAGAGACGGTCTGCATGGGAGCAATGCCATTCTGATCACCACTTCTAATTCAGATTGGTTAGCCAGTGAACTGTGACGTTTAACCAGTTAACTAATTGAATGGGGGTGGCGGGGGTGGACAGCCAGGGCAGCCCCTGCCCCGGTCACATCCCTAATTACAGAGCCCAGCAAACTGCTGGACGTGCGGCTGTTTTGAAGGCACCAATTTTGCCAACCCCGGCTCTCTAGAAATCACAAGGTTGTCCAAAAAGGGTTCTGTTGCGTGTCAAGCTTTGGTCTTCAGCCATGAGGGCTAGAAAAATCCTTATGCCAAGGTCATCCTGTAACAACTCCCACCAAGAGCTGGGGCTTTCAGCGCACCCCCAAAAAGTGGGAGGCTGGCGCTAAAATTTAGAGTTGGCAACACTGAAATAAACAGGAACCTGCTTCCTTTCTTGCTGCAAGACTGAGAACGCCAGGCACACTGTCCCATTGTTCTGGAAAACAAACACACTGGGGACCTCCACGGGACACAATCAACCTAAATATGCCCCCAAATACAGGTCTGAGGGCAAGCTAAGAGGGCAGC